ATCATACAAACTTGAGACGTCAACTCTCAATAACCTTCAAACGATCCCTATAGCATTGTCTTCGTTGTGCTACACGTCTGGTACAAACAATATTTTAGGAAACTGGGATTAAAGATCGTGAAACACGACGTCACTGATACTTTTCACACCTAACGGTACCATTCTTAGCACTCACGCGCACTAGTCGCAATAAACAAGCAATGCAAATGGAGGTTCATTCAGACACAGTGTGCATTTAATTGCGACTTCACGTGGGTCATCTCGAGTCGTCAGCATGCAGTTCTGGATTTGTCAGAAACAATATGTCCATATTTTTTTGGAATTTCATTAAATAAGTTTTGTCAAATAATTTACAAGAAAATAAGGAGAGTAATAAAAAGGTATGCTAAATATGTGATATACAGTCGTCTCCGCTTGTAGTGAACTCAGATATAGTGAAACCTCGGTTTGTAGTGAACTTAAATCATTGGCTCCGTTTCACTTAAATTACAAATAAGCATAAGAAAATTCTATTCTAGTGAACCTGAACATCGGTTTTAGTAAACGTTAGAAATACGTCCTGGAAATGAATTACCTCCTGGAAAATAATATATCGCCTCAGTGCCACAAATCCCATCACGAAGCTTGGAAAAAATACCGTCTGCCAAAGGTCGTAATCGAAGAATTCCCTCTGAGGTGTCCCTCTGAGGTGTCCCTCTGAGGTGTCCCTCTGAGGTGTCCCTCTGAGGTGTCCCTCTGAGGTACGCCTCTGAGGTGCGCCTCTGAGGTGCGCCTCTGAGGTGCGCCTCTGAGGTGTGCCTGAACTCCCCCTGCGGTCCCCCTTCAGTTTCAAGCTTGGTGTTATATTCCGCACAATTCGCCTTGTGTTCGGCCGAGGCGGCAGGAAGCGCGCGTCTGCCACAGCCACACAGTCTGGCGACACACGCCGCTCCGCCCAGGAAAGCTATTGGTTTCATAAGGCGCTTGCGCCATCACGCTCCCGAAAAGATATCGTTTGTTCCACTTTCCTCGCACGCGGTAAAAATGGTGCTCGAGAAAAGAGTCACAAGAAAGAAGCTCACGAACATGTGCGCAGATTGTACTTTTCCCCCATACGTCACAATTTACTGTTTTTTGGAAGATAAATGCATTTAAAAAATAAATCGAATGTACTGCATTGGCTAGAGTTCCTGCGGAAGATTCTTTAAGGGAAATGAATTTATTTTTTCATTTTCTCTAAGTTTTCTATAACCCCTATGATCTCTTATGGAATTAGATGTAATTTTTACAGAGAATTTCTACGGGTTAGTTGCGAACTAGTCCAGTATATTTTTGTATCAACAATCATGATTTGGAAATTACCTGTACTACGCACTAAAATACGTTATTTTAAATAATATTTTTTGGGTTCTTGTTCATTATATATTGCCTAGTTTTTTATGTCTGCTTGAAACCGTAATATTGTACCTGGCATTTCCTCTTGCACTGAGTGTAACCTTTCGGTTGAGGTTATTACTATTGTTGCTGCATACCTTGAAGCTGTTCCTCTTTTTGTTGGTGCAGGTGTTGTTGTGGTTGCAGTTGCAGTTGCAATTGCAGTTGTGAAGACACGTGGTACTGTGGAGGTAGTTGCGATAACCGCATTGCACCCATTTGCAATAGTTGTGGAACGTTTTGCAATTGCTTTCTTATTCGACGCTGGATTTTTCGCACACATTGGTATTTGAACATGTTTTGAGGTTTATTAACGTTGTTTGCGGTATCCATTTCGCATTTAATTAGTTGCTCCTTATTGAGGTAACCGTCAGTAGCCGATAACTTCTGTAAGTTGATTAATTAGCACTGTATTTTACTTATTGATAAATAAAATGTTACGCTACTTTCAGGACGAAACACTAAGAACTATTCTAACGAACGGCACTGCAACACTGAGCGTTATCGCGCTGATCGGTGAACTGTGTGTTGACCACTGTTTGAATGCGATAGGAACTGTCTCGGACTCAAATCTTTCGCCACGGTGACTCAAATCAAACAGTTCTGATTTTTCGAAGTGACCTGAGTGTGCCTGTGAAAATGGATCTGTAGAAGACCATTTTCTTCTTCCTTAGTCTAACATAAACTTGAATATGCCCGCCTGGATAGCAGAAGTCGCTAAGGCTGAAGGGTCATAGCTGCCTCGGCTCGAATGGTCACGGGTTCGAATTCCACCACGGGCATGGATATTTGTGTGTGTTTGCATTGTTCTTATGTGTTATTCCTGCAGTTCCTTCTGTAGTTAAAGCAATCCCAGCGGTCGCTATATCACTAAATTGCTAATGGTTAAAAAGCGACCTAAAAAACCTTCGATTTACCGTTGCTCTGTCACATTTCGATATCACTTGAGAATTATTTTACTTTGATGAAATTCTCCCCTCCAGCAGGTTCGTATTGTCCCCTTCAGCAGGTTTTACCGCCCTTCCCATCTAAAACCAGAACGTGCTTTTTAATTTTTTTTTTCGTCAAATTGAACATTAACCTAATTGAAACTGGTGATGCTCCAGCAGCACGTACTTTCTCGCGATGTTGCTAATAGCTATGTACTATTATAGTATGAATATTTCTCTCATACATTTCAATTACCGTTTGAACATTTTTTAAACAAACGAAGCGTGACAAATGTATTTTTTTATATTCAAACGTTTAAATGAAAACAGCTTTCAGCCATTGAATTCAGTGTATTCACGTTCTACATATATTGTCAAACGATGCGTGTGGCGAATTTTAACCGTAAATAAAATTATAAGTTTATATTAACGCGAACGAACTGCGGCCGTCGTTATCGCCTTCTGTTATCAGTGAGGCATTACAACTATGTGTTACTACGCGCAACAATGGTCGCTAATTCGTATGAGATACATTGTGCAACATTTAGTATTGTTTATACTACTGACAAGAAAATGAAAATGGATACAAAAATATCATAATTAAATATAATGTAGTTATATTCGTAAAGCTATTCAACTTTTACGCGGATTAAGGCCCATTCACAATGCAAACGTAAACATAAGCTTAGCGCATAGACTTCAACATTAACATAAGCGATATACTGAAGTATTCACACTTCCTAACATAAACGTAAGCAAAATAAATTTCTATTAGATGTGAGACTTTCTGGTTGGATGTGAGAATCTATTTCAAGATATCGACTGTGTCTATGTCCCATATGGCATTTGTTATTTTATCGACTTCCCTCCACTTTCAATTCTCGATTTTGAATTACCGTTCTTTGATTGGTTCAGTTCTTATGTCTTACGTAAGCATAAGCACAGAAGCTTGAAGCTTGCAAGCGTTTAAGTTAACGTCTTACGTGTTATGCTTATGCGAACGCATTGAGAATGAGTCCGCGTATGGACGTAGTCCTAACGTTTATGTTAACGCCATGCTTATGTTTATGTTTGCATTGTGAATGGGTCTTTACTCTTCATTATCACATCTTGTTACGCAAGCAAAATCATCTATTCGTTTTCACATTTATCTCAATTAAAGACCGCAATTTAAAATAGATTTTAAATAAATTATACTCGATATCAAAAATGGACTCGAGCCAGATGGGCATAGATTTCTTCAATTTGAAAAAACTTCTATGCATGGTTTAGGCGCTTGTAGTGTCCAGACACCAGAAGGACGAACAGATGGACTGACGGACGTTTTGAAAAAAAAAGTGTTGTTGATTTTCTTTAGGTATTAGGGGCCCTCAAAGACATTTTTACAGACATTTTTGCAGTATATTGGTAAATTAAGTCATAAGTGGTTTTAAAGGCTGGAAAGGGTAAACATAGTATTAACTACGAACAAGTAATTGAAAAAATCTTAAGAAATTTACGACAACCGGTCTTTCTAGAGAAAGCTTTGAATATTTTCTGTTTCCCTGTTCTCAGACAGTAAAACTAATTTTTGTGAGCTTTTAATAAAACTGGGACGAGGAAATTAACAATTTTTTAAAGTATAATTTTTCTTATTTTTGTCAAAATGTTAATCTTGATAAATTTAAAATTTAAAAAACACGCTTTTGGCTTTAGTGTAGTGGTGGTAGTGAGAGAAAATAAGAAACATTTTTTCAATAATCTTATTTTTAGCTTAAAGTCGTACTTTTAATATATGTCGTTTATTTATATGGAACTTTTTATCATCTTATTTGCAAGTATCCATTGACACTTTATATGGGAAATGCAGATCAGATTCCTTATTTTGTTTCGTAGTGATTACATTACTCCGTAGCATGCCGGCATAATTCTATAGCGGATAGGAAGAGCAGTCGCCTCAATGTGATCCAGAAAAGTTTTCATTGAAAGAAAAAATCAGTTCACTTAGAATGGTCATAAATGCTATTGAATGATTGCTAAGGGTAGGGGTTTCCATGTGACTGAGGGTTGATGAAGAAATTAATTTTTAATTTCTTAATCCTACAGAAATTCGTAAGAAAGGATTCTTCGCAATATTTCTGTGAGTGATACTTTATCATTCATAGAAAGGAACCAAGCAACGCTGTAATTTCACCACAAACACAATTTCACGTTAAAGTTAAAAATTATTAAGGTTCGGAAATTCGAATCTGGAATGAAAGTCATGTGAAACAAGTAACGACATCTCAGCAAATGTTTCAAAATTTGGGATTATAATTTAAGAATTTGATGCGTGCATTTGCAATTTATTGTTTTAGCAGCAGTTGGAAATACATACGTGGCTTGACGGTTCGTAATTGATTTTTACAATTCACGTCTGAGGGGTAATCCTTTGAAGGGGAGTCTTGAACCCTTCCTCCGCCAAAGCAATAGGCAGACGTTTATCAACCAGTGGTAATGAGTTTGCGACCTTGGATTTAAAGCCTAAGTAATTACAAGTATATGACTAAAAGACGGCAAATATCTCACTTTCTGTTGTTGTCTCATTGTAGGCAGAGTAGGAAGAGCTGACGTGAATGATTATCGAAAAGGGGTTTGCGTGTTTTGTATTATCGCGATTTCGTGTTTTTGTTTTCAGAGGTATCATGCTATCTCGATCTCGACGCCGAGCGTTAAGTACTGCTAATGCACGACCAGGCAAAACGCACAGAAAGAGATGCCAACTTTGGCAACGACCTAACCTTCTAAGTTTTAAAGTCACTTCTTTTCTAATTCCCCCCTCGACATGTTTGAGTTGCTGTGAGTTGCCATCGAGAATTTGGATGGAAAATGATTGTTATGAAATTTTTGGTGTGGTTTTTACGATACGACCATTTCATAATACATGTATTCCTGTTGTATATTTAATCGAATGTAAAAGACTGTCTTTCTTTCATTTCCAAAATTTACTTAAATATATTTTTTTAAAACACGTATTTACAATTGAGGCATTTCTTATACATTATTTTTATTGTGGATGCAAATACTTGAAACTATTTGTGTTGAAGTTTCTCGAAAACTCAAAGTTGTTTTGTGAAAACATCTCATTTTCAAAATCGCCCAAACTTTGTTTTCTCAAGAATGGATTAAATATTTTTTTAAATGTGCAAAAGTCCAGCTTTTACTCTCCTATAATATTCGTAAAGTCCTGTAATAATAAAAATTCTCTGGGTGGGCAACGGCCTCTCTTTATGGAAGATTGCTCTTAATTATTGCCACAACTGAGGAATGTTTGGGAGTATTACAATTATTTACACTAGGCAACGTTCTGAATGTTACACTTCTGTGTCTAGTTATTAGGGAGTTTTAGCGCCAGGCGTAAAGCGTAAATCGTAAGATACTCTATTGATCACGTGATTAACGTCTTTGAACGGTCGTAATGAATAACGTTCAGAAGAGTCTTAGCAATTGCGACATTGAGTTATGCTTTATAACAAAGGAAGCATTTCAAGCGTTGAACAGAGAAATTGCATAACATATCAAAGAGTGTAGACTAGTGGTGAGGAGACATTTAAAACACGTTACGAGTGAACAGAATAACAAATATATATTGTGCATGGAGTTTAAGATTTTGTGGCCCTCCCTGATGAGTATGCAGTCTGGAATTTTGAATCTGCTTTTCTTGAAAATATAGGAAATACCTTATAACAGCGTTCGTTATGAGCGTAAGACATAACATATCCCGAAGATATGATTTGAACTCTTTTTTCTAGAATTGCTTTCCTGTCACCTCTCCAACATATCCCGTTAATTCTTGCCAGCGTTGTGGAGTTGGTAAGAAATAATTGTAACTGCATCACATACGAGAATCGGTTTACCAAAGTTGGAAAAATTCAACTTTTCCTGTTTTTAGGCGGCCATTTTGCCGCTTGTAAGGTGACAGTAGAGGCTCTTACAGGCGTGCACAATTTATGAAGGTATACGGTCGTACCTTAGGCCTAAGGTAAGACGTTATGACTTCAAGGTCCATCACGTGACTGTTAGTGCATAACGCCGCTACCTTACGCGTGGCGTTAAAACTCCCCATTATTCTGATTTCTATCATTTGTTTATATGCTCCACATCGAATTTACTCTAGTTGTTCCGTTTTGAAGCACTAGCGTTTCTATGCACACGTTCAGGACACTTCCATTCTTCACGGTTTCTTGCTGCCTGCGACCACAAATTGCCTGCAACGTCGGCCCATCTTCTTCTTGGTCTTCCTTGTTGTCTTTTTCCAAATCTCGGGTCCCCTACCGTTGTAATGTTGGCCCAACGGTTGAGATTCAGTCGTACTACATGACCTGCCCATTTCCAATTGAGTTGTTGAGCAGTGGATGCAGCATCTCGGGCTTGCGTCTTTCTAATCTCTGATGTCCTTTTGCAATCTTTGAGTGTTACTTGTATTTCCCCCCCCCCCATTTTTTCTGCGTTATTTGAAGTGTTTTCTTTTTCTACTCGGTATGTGTCCCGGTTTGTACTCTATACAACATGGTCGGTAGTATACAGCTGTTTTTATTTTATTGTGATTTATCCAACAGTGTAAAACTCAACACCCAACATTTTTCCAAGCTTGCGAAATCTGTTTATATTATACTTGCTGAAGAACCTCGCGTTGCTGGGGTATTATAACAATTTTATATTAATCAGAAAGGGGGATTCCATCTATTCCCATCCTATGTCGGAGCCTACTTCTATCTATTCTATTGTATCTGCCCTCCGCCGTACCCCGCCCTGCTCCAATCCGGAAATACCCGGTCTTTCGTACTCGCGCTAAAAATATGAAAATGTCTTTCACATTTTCACTGAAAATAATAAACAAATCTAAACAAAAAATAAAATATTTGTCTACGAAAATGCATCCTTACGTCAGTTTCAGCATACCACATAAATCATTCATATGCTTTCACTCTAACTTGCAAATACATAAAAGAAAGTTATTGCAAGTCGTGGATTTAAAAGACGTAACTCGACAATTCTAGGGAGAATTTGTACTGCGCATGCGCCGGCATCAAATGTCGGGATGTCGATTGAAGGGTCCCACCATTCTCCCTGTTTTGTCGTCTACGACAAACTTACACTTTACGTAGTTTTCGTCTCCACCACTAAACACAATATCAACACTAACTTACAATGAGCATGGAAGAAATGACAAATGCAATATCCATCGTACCAATATAATATGGCAAGAACTTAATGGTTAATATTTCTTAAGTTAATTCAAATTTGTCAGGAATGAACTAATGTAGTTGTTTAGGACAGGTTTTGAGATTACGTATACGAGACTGCATTGATTGTCACGAAATTTAATTATTTATCCACTAGGCGTTAAAATTGCCATACATTTCCCATTCCAAATATTAACAATATAATTATGTATTAGTAAAATTGCGGGGAATTTACATTCTAAGATTATCTAGAAAGCAATAGTTATCTTTGGAGATAAAGACATGTATTACATATTCGTATGATGCAATCAGATTTCATGTTTTATACGTTACGGTACTATCTTGTAATGCATATAAAAGCAAAACGAAGTGAGTGAGAGATACGCAGATGTTTAAAAAAAGCTTTTAGACCCTGTTAGAGGGACATGCAGTTCCAATTAGTTCCTAGTTTTAACGTAAGCTTTCGATTGTACGACTTGCAAAAACACGCTTTTCTGACGGTATGTTATTTCCTGTTGACAATGTTTACGTACAACGACAATGAATTTCCCGTCTTCCAAGAACTCTCAATAATTATGTTTAATAATTTACTACAACTATACATATGTGCATTCGTACCTTTTTTTACGACAGTATTAGCCACATCCGTTAGAAAATGATATATCCAAAGATTTCGTCACTTGTACACTTCATGCACTCACGCATACACACACAATTAAAATCAATATCCAAGTTACTTTTATAAATAAAGCGGAGAAAAACTCAGAATTATTTTGGATTAGACAACTGATGAAAATAAACACACATCCCTCTAAATACGCAATTCTCTGCATTGATGAAATCACTAGGAGATCTCAGACGTTACTCAATGAAAGCAGAACTATTGACATTGATGAACTCTTGAGTCTGTAATGTAAAGCTAGGCGAAAATGTCAAGAAAAGTAATTATTTTGTAAATATGTTAGGTTTATGGATATAAATCATTAGCGTATAGTACTCCAGACCTTTAAAGGAAGCTGGCATTAAAGTTTCATCGGTATTGGTGCAGTAGATTCAGAGATTATCGCGCTGTAAGTCAATGCACTAGTGTGTATAGATTAGTATACATTTAGATTACGTAACTTCATTTTCTCGTTATAAATCTGTTATATGTTGGACTGGATAGTAATTCTTTACATTGAAGCAACACACTTACAGGGTTTTGTGCCGATGGATTGTCAAAATCCGTTATCAATCCGTAAGCATAGAGAAGATAAATCAAGGAATGAAAATAAATTTTGAATTCAGCATATATGAAATTATCTGAACAAACATCAAGTCAGGTAGACACTGTACCTAAGGTGCCCTCCAGAAAAATCCAGGTTACGCAATTGCATATGTCTATTTTACTGCAGTTGTTCTGTATATCTAACCCACTGCTTGTGTGGCGTCATAACAGTCGCCTTGAACAAACGTACCAAAATCAGCCACGTGCATTTCATGCTCATGGACAGCGTTGGCGGAAGAGACGCCGGGCTAAACAATGGCAAACCTAGGGAGCGGAAGGGAAGGGGTGCCGTGTCGTGGTGGCCACTTGTGAACCCCGTAGACCACTTGGGGCAAACGTGTGAACCCCGTAGACAGGCTGGCTGTGGAAACGCGTCGGCGGAAACAGCAAAATGACGCAGTTCCGTCAGCCGACCCAGAAAGTAATATAAACGGGCTCCGGACCTAAACTCCTTCTTCTGCTTCTTGGGCGCGTCGGTAGTTAGTCGCGTGGAATGTGCGCGGTGCTGCATTTCAATGCATAGGCTACTGAGGCAGGGAACTGAAGCCGGCGTGCTACTTCGAGACGGGAGGTGCGGCATACTCGCATGTATGCTGACGTAGGCAACTGGTCATCACACCGAATAAGATATCAAATTATCAGGTCAGCGGTGGTGGTGACTAGGAACATTCCTTCTAGTAACGGGTCAATATTGTTTATTGTAATTATTGTACATAGTATTCAGGTGTTGGAGCATATTTCAAATAAATACTTAATAAATTACAAACCGTTCACGTCTGTAATTTATTGCCCCGGCAAAGACGCCACACTTGGCGTCGGCCCGAGCAAAGGAAGTGACAGTGATGGGCAAGCGCATGCTAAGCACAATAGGCTCATAGGGTCGGTGAAGTGTCAAGCTGTGTACCTTTAGCTGTGTACCTATCTAGGCACAAGGAGAACGCGAGGCAATTTCAAATGACAGCGTGTTGGATCAGGAAGTGATTGTGATATTTTCTCGTTAGCGTGTGCAAGTCGTTTTTTTCAACTTACTTTCTTTTTCATCAATTATCGGGACAAGATTTTTGTTTTTTTGTGAAAATTTGAAGCCGTCGACTTGCACAATGCGTTTGATGTTGCCTTATCATTGATGTTTGAACATCGAATGATAGTTTTATTCTCTCTTTAGCGCGTATATGTAGCTCTCTTCCAACTTGCCTTCTTTTGCAACCATCGCAACTATTGCAACTATCAGAAGAACAAAAGAAATATTTTATAAAAAAGTTGGAAACATACAGGTAGGCTTGCATGGCGAGTCTGTGGCCTTCGGCACGACACCCTGCGGACAGCCAAAAGAAAGATTTTATTG